GCTATATGCCAATGCCAACAATGCAACCATTGTTCAAAATACTTTCGAATTGCTTCCTGGAGCAATGCCTAAAATTTAAAACACAACAGGCAAGTTTTTTGCTGAGGAAGATTCTGGTTTTAGAAATAGCCAAGTCACTTGAGGTTAATAAACTGATGTGACTCAAGCTAGGTAATGCCATATTTGGTTCAAAATGAGATGTGGCTATTAAATTCGCACTGATTTTGAGACCTTCATAAAACTGGATATGGAAGCAGTTGCAAAAATTTGCAAAAATATTTGGGCTGTGGCAGCACAAACTCAAATCATGTTGAAGTGCCTCAGTTTAATGTTTTTAAGAAACCTTAGAGATTCCCTGGTCTATTGCCTGTATTACAAATAAAGAAACTAAGTTTCAGGAAAAGATGGGCTCCTCACTCTCAGTTCAGCTGGCCAGTGGCAGATCTAAAAACAGAACTCCTCCTCTGCCTCATTTAGTTTTAGCCTCAACCTATATTCCCTCCCATCCAAAAAAAAAAAAAAGGGCAGGTGGGGAATGGAGGTTAGTTTAGGAGTAAGCCTAGTCTAACGTGTAATGATCCTTTTTTTTTTTTTTTTAAAGATTTTATTTATTCATTTGACAGATCACAAGTAGGCAGAGAGGCAGGCAGAGAGAGAGAGAGAGAGAGAGAGAGAGGAGGAAGCAGGCTCCACGTCGAGCAGAGAGCCCCATGCAGTGCTCGATCCCAGGACCCAGGGATCATGACCTGAGCTGAAGGCAGAGGCTTCAACCCACTGAGCCACCCAGGCACCCCTGATCCTCATTTTCTTACAAACTAAATTTTAAAATGTTGCAGAATTTTGTTGTGTGTCCTCTTCAGGTTCACCAGTCTATGGAAACCAAAATGAGATGTTGGACATATATTCCCTGTGCCCAGTCCTCCATCGTCTTTCTTGATTGGTGTTTCTCTGTATTATAGGTAACATTACAGATAATAGATCTGTAATCCTATTTTGACATTCTTCTACAAAAACTGTCTCCATCTAGGTGTCTGAATCTCTTTCATGTAGCAAGAAAATTTATACTCTGCTTTATTACCAGAACAATTTCAGATTTATAATTTACATAATCTAAGAATTAGTGAAAGTAAAAAAAAAAAAGGTAAAAGAAAATTGGACAAAGAAAAGAGAAGATGGCAAAAGATGGAAGCATACAGAGCACATGCTATTATAACAATGTGAAGTGTCATCCAGTAATTAAAATTCAGCTATAAGGTCTGGTTTTGAATGTCTTGGAGGCAAAGCAAAAAAGGTAAGTTGATCAGTAATGAGATCCATATAATCCAGTTTACCAGCTGCTTGGAAGCAACAAAACTTTTCCTAGCATTCTGTCAAGAGGAATGGCTGGGTCCACATGTCTAATCTTAGGTGAATGTTTTCTTAGACGTGAGCTTTCCACAAAAATCTAGAGAAAAAGGGTCTGGAATTATGAATATTTTGTTTTATCATACTTTTACCAAAGTAGGGTTGACATCCCCTCATGAAATTAAGAACCAGATCACCTACAACCTCACATATGCTTGGAAGAACAATTAGGAAAAAATAAAAATCTTGCCATTCTATGAGCCCTTCACCCATTTGGGGCTCAAGTTTCTAACCTGATTTGTTCTGCATTTTCAAACTGAAAGATGATTATTCTTCAAATAGCGAGAGTTGGTTGTTAAAACATCCACGAATATTTCAAGATACCAAGTACAATGCCCTTCCCTTTTCTTGCTTTGAAATTTTGAAGCAAGGTTCAGTGACTTCTGTGTATATTTTATATAACAGTTGACGATATTATTTTACAAACATCTCACAAATCTATGGGGTTCACAGAGCAGGTGCCACGCAATCCTCTGTGGATGAGAGAACTGAGGCCCCAGAGATGGAGCAACTCGTTCAGGGCCACGCTGGTTGGAGTTGTCTTCACTAGAGCCCGGGCCCCTCTATTTGACGTTATTTGTTTTCCCCTCCCTTGTTTTAGAAGCCCAAACTCCAGTGCTCTCCCACTCTGGTATGTAGCCCCTCTAGATGAAAGCTTGCCTGTGCCGTATTTTTATACATGTCCTTAAAAAAAGCTCTTTCTGCAAGTACATTCATTTTTTTGGATGCCTTTCCTTTTCTAAAATTGAAATCAATTAGGATTATGAGCATGTGTTTTTATCTCTTTTTAGAATTTATATCTTGGATATAAACTTCCTGAAGCCTAAAACACATTATCTAATTATATGCAACATTCCTGTGACTATTATAAAATCTTGGCTGTTTTAAAAAAATGGCTCCAATATAGAATATTTGCACCAATTTCGTTCTCTAGTTTGAAACACTACTAGAGTAACTGTTCTTACTGCTTCCTTCTAAAGAGAAGTATGCAAACAGTAACGGATATTCTACTTTTCAACTACTTTACTGTAGCAGAGTAACTGAGATCTGTTCTTCCAGCCACGATCTGGCCTCGGTATCTTGCTTCTATTCCGTATTGCATAAAGTATCTGCCCTATGTGTTTGACCATTTTTCATTGAACAGATCTCTTCCTCCCGCACATACCATTTTGTCTCTCTTGTCTCTTTTGTCCTCACTCAAGGTCAAGGGAGCATGTTGGTGGGGACAGAAGCAAGCATTCTGGACCAAGACAGACGTAGGCCTGAATATTGGCTCTCCTATGGCTAGCTATCACTCTGGTCAAATGATCTGATGTTTTACACCCCATTTTAAATTAAGAGTAGTTGTAGAAAAATTAATTCAGAGTAGCTGAAATGATCGTATTGAAAGCTCTTAGAGCCAAAGGTAAGGAACTCAAATATTAGTTTTTTCTTATGTATATACACCATTATCCTTTGCTCAAATGAATGAAGTGGTCATTCCTATTCCTTTTACCTTGTAGAAGGGAATCTACTGAAATATGGCATGGAGGAAGAAAAAATCCACTGCCACTTTCATTCTCTCTCCAAATATGCAGTTTACCTTCTCTTTTAAGACTCTTATTATGACCACAATTAAAGTATTATGTGATATAAAAGGAAAAGCTGAACCAAAAGGTACACAGGGGACAGAATAAGAGAAATTCATTAAATGGAACATGCCTAAAAATTGAGAATACAGATTTGTTACTTACCATTCTGCTTCTGGTTACTCTGACAGTCCATAAGGAAAAGGTGTCTATAAAGACTTAAAAGGAAAAATAAAATATGAAGTACAAACCAAGATTTAATATACTACTAAAAATTGTTTACATAAAATGCTCACATAATTCCATTTTAAATAAAGACAAAATACAAAACCAATGAACAGAAGTATACTGCTGTAACTCCAAAGGATTACTCATAAGGAGAGTTCCATTATAATTTCCACCCTATTTCCTTAATTTATAGGCACATTACAATTGCACAGTATTTCCAGCTTTTTTCCTCATTAGTATTCCCAGCCATACCTAGTCTAACCCTCAACCCTAGTCTAAACCTCAAGCCTGTTAATTCATATACTGGTAGACAACATCTGAAATGCAAACATTATTTTGGCTTTCATTCTCATCTGTATTTGCTCTCTTACAGCTGCTGTCCTTTCTCTTCAGGTTGGTGTACTCTGGGGCATGCAAACATTTAATGCCTGTAGGAATCAGTATTGGGTTTCTCAATAGCTGATATGATTACCATTATCACGCTAAGATTTGAACCAAATGACAGTTGGTACAGATGTTCTTCCTGCTTGCCGCTCCTTCCAGGAAGCTCCAAGATGTGTATACAATGTACTGAACACCTTGCTGGTTTCAAAAGTAGCTCTAATGCAGAATACTTGGGTGAACCATTTTGGGGAACTCCAACAGTGATGCCTAGAGATATTACATAAGCATAGCATAGATGACTTCAACGTGCAGCTACAGATCCACTTAAAAAATGAAGGTGTGTGTGTAAATGGATACTGTGGGTCACTATGTTAACAGTATGAGAAGACCAAATCTCCTCCCAGATTCTTTTTGGACTAAAAAGACAAGATAATAAAATCACTAGCTTTAAAAGACCATTTATTATTCTTAAATATTTACAACTCATGGGTTAGAATATTTATCAATTTATTACCAATAGGTTATTTGTTGGGATTTTGCTTGAAAGAGGCTTCACCTGTTATCTCGCACCACTTTTATTTCTTATGGAAGAGAATTCCAGGTTATCTAACTTTTTACATGCTTCCTTTCCAGACGTTTTGAACTAGCCACCTGGCTATCAAGGAGGTTTCAAGGATAGCCTCGTTAATAGGCTTTCTAGTCTCCCACCTCTGAAAAGAAGGCCCCACTCACTTTCTTAGCTACTGCCATGTAACAGCTCCTAAATAACCTAATGTAAGAGCACAGTCCAATACAAACAGATACCGAGCGACCGCAGTGAATACCACAGCGTTCCAATGGAAAGCTAGAAATGTGAAACAGTGATTCGATAATGAAGACTGACTGGCCATGGAACCTCTTTTAAGAAACACAATAATGGGAACATGGACACATAGTGAGGATTACTTATGAAGAAAATATCAAGGACACCTGATATTTCCACTTAAATAAACAAAATAAAAAAACCCCATCAGGCTAAACAGTCCCTTTGTACACTATTATTGTTAGACCCCCAAATAAAAAGATCTTAGAGATTTAATAAAATCACTATAAAATACTCTATAACTTATGTTTTGCATGGTTTTAAAACATTCACAATGCTCTTAATCATACATGAAAATATAAAAAAATAAATATTGCCATGCATATCTTGCTGACATTTTAAAACCCCACAAATAAATAACTTGAAATGCTATCCAGAGAAATTGCTCCTGTATACTTTTTGTTAATTATGGAGGACTCAAGCAAGTCTATTTTTATATAGTATCCTTCAACTGAAAAAGCTATAAAATAAGCCTAATTTTTAATGCCTGTCAATGATCAAAATGTAATGCTAAGGGAAAAAATAATACAAGCCAAAACTGGAGTGCAAACACCTTTTTTGCTGTAGGTTTTAATGGAAAAGGTTTGCGGACTAATGGGATTCCTTCCCAAGGGCATGCTGCAAACTTGGAAAATGACGTTAGAGAAACTGAGAATCCTTCCTCAGGCAACTTCTTTTCCTATTTCAGTCCTGAAACATCCCTGGTTAAGACTCTTGTGATTAAAAAGACAAGCATTTATAAAAGTCCTTCGGGTTCCTCATTAAAGCTGAAGTCACACACTAGAGACAGGTGGTCTGAAGGGTAATTAAAAGATGGTAGCCGGTTGGGTCCAATCTGTTCTTCAGTGAGCAAATCAAGAGCTGACCTCACACTGAGGGCGTGTTTAGAATACCAGATATAATCCAGGGTATGTCGGCATTCCCCTGAGGTCCGGATCTTCCAGGTAGTATACGGAGGTTCTGACTGCCCATCAGCACTCAGCAGCTTGTAGGCACTGTTCAGGTTGAGGCTGGAGGAAGCAAAGTGTTTGTAGACCTCCTCTGTTGGCTCTGCATTGAAGTCCCCACACACGATAAGTGGAATCTTGGCTCCTTGGGTGATGTTCTGCAGGTTCTGGAGGAGGTCACAACCTTGAGCGGAGCGAAATCGTTCCCAGCCAGTACGTGCTTTTAAGTGGGTGACAGCAATGCAGAACTGTCGGCTGGACTCCTTGCACTCTAGAGTTTGTGCGATGGCCACCTGATTGGTTTTCAGTGTCATGGCCGTCAGCCTAATATTGGCACTGTTGACTAGCTTGAATCGGTTCTGGAGGAAAAACAAGGCACAGCCATCTGGCCCATTGTTATGTTCTACATCTAGACAAGGTGACCAGGGCTTTGGGAAAAATGTGCCTTGATAGCCTAATCTACTGAGGAGCGGTTGGAAGGTGTCAAAATAGTGGTCCACCTCTTGGAGGCACAATATATCAGGCTGGTAGGCTAGGATTTCTTCGAGGATGAGACATTTCCTTTCTTCCCACTTGAGTGCTTCCACGGGGCATTGTACAAAGTTGTCTTTTCCTTCTCCAAGAGCTGAAATAAAAAAAGCCAGTCAGTTGTCATAGGTATGTAGAAATCATGGTGCTACAGCTAAGTACCAGACGTCTCCTTCAGTTTGACACTACTCAAGACCCTCACAATGCTTTCTCTCTTTCAGATGCTTCGGGTGATTCTTGCTGTCTGAACTGTATTAACCAACCAAACTGGGGCACCGAGGTGGCTCAGTCGGTTAAGTGTCCGACTCTTGATTTTGGCTGAGATCATGATCTTAGGGTCATGAGACAGAGCCCCGCACTGGGCTCTGCTCTGAGCGTGGAGCCTGCTTCAGATTCTCTCTCCCTCTACCCCTCCCCTGCTCATGTGTGTGCATGTACATGTGCCTGCTCTCTCTCTAAAAAACCCCAGAACAAACAAAACCTACCAAACTAAATAAACTCTTAATATCCAGATAAGGCAAACAATTTATTTTCCTTCATATTAAAACTGTTTCAAAGGACTATATTCTAAGATGAAAAACCTTAAGTTTGAGCCTTCAACAGTGTTTTTTTTTTTCTTAAGATTTTATTTATTTATTTGACAGGGATTACGAGTAGGCAGAGAAGCAGGCAGAGAGAGAGGAAGAAGCAGGCTCCCGGCTGAGCAGAGAGCCCGATGCGGGGCTCGATCCCAGGACTCTGGGATCGTGACCTGAGCCGAAGGCAGAGGCTTTAATCCACTGAGCCACCCAGGCGCCCCACAAAGTGGTAAATTAATGAACAGGGACCTAAAGCAATATCCCTTTGACCTCAAGTTCTACAGACACATATGGGTGAGAATCTGGCCTCAAGAATACCCAGACTCAACACCACCCACAGTGCGTCTCCATTCCCTGCAGGAAGTTCTACCTGCCACTCATTCAGCAGATTCTGTTTCTCCCTTACAAATGTTATCTTAGGGGGCGCCTGGGTGGCTCAGTGGGTTAAGCCTCTGCCTTCGGCTCAGGATCCTGGGATTGAGCGCCGCATCGGGCTCTCTGCTCAGCAGGGAGCCTGCTTCCCCCCCCCCCCTGCCTGTCTCTCTGCCTACTTGTGATCTCTATCAAATAAATAAATAAAATCTTTAAAAAACAACAACAACAAAAACAAATGTTATCTTAACACTGTGGGCTGAGAGTTGGAGGCAACAGAAAGTTTGAGGCTGATAAAAGACAGGGTCCTTTAAACATGGAAGGTGAGGTATAAATCTCGAGTGCTGGATTTATTTGTGAAAACCGGATGGCCTTCTTTCTTACCTTCCCCTTCTGGGAGCTCCTGGTGCTGTCCTAGTCACCCCATCCTCCTACACCTCTATCTGCCCACACCTCTTTCCTCCGGTGCTCTAAGGTGTGTGCAGAAACAGAAAGGCAGTCACAGCAAACCTAACTGCTCAGGTACAAAAGCATTAGGCATACCTTGGGCGAGGATGTTCCACTGCATGACCCGAATAGGTGGATGGCTACTGGGGCAATCTGTCCTCAGATCCACAAAATCCCTCTGGAACCTCGGAGGTCGAGTGTGCAGGACAGCCCTGCATTCCTCAAGGAGTTCTTTAGGATCAATGGGCTCCAGATGTTCTGGGTCAGGTGACACCAAATATTCTGGGTGATGGGAGGCAGCGCTGCTGTTCAGTGTCTTGGCGAGAGCGCTATAGAGTCTGCTCGTTCCGTTTCCCATGGAACACACTACAGAAGAGGAAAGTACAATTACACACGCAGCTCCTTTTCGGCCTTTCTTCCATTTTCAATCAGCTCAAATAGAAGATAAAACCTTTACTGTCCACAGAAGCCAAGAACTTGACTAACAGCAATGCTGCCACCAGGTTCATGTATGAAGCCATTTCTGCAGAGGTGGTTTAAAGGAGTTTCCAGGCTCTAACTTTCTATAGGACAGATTAATTGAAATACCAATGTTAAAACTGGTCTCTGATTAAGATATTCTTTTAAGAGAGAAATACCTTGATCTTTATGGTCCCTTCTAATTTAGGATTTGCCTTAATAATTCATAAGCCCAGTCTTATTACGAAAGCATAGCTAGACAAAATCCACGTTCCTTTTTCTAAATATTTTAATAAAAACTTTAAGGCCAGTTTGTAAAGAGCCAAATGTTAGAAAGCCCATGATAATCCTGAAGAAAAGATTAGGTGATAGCAGGCTGCTGCTCTGGCTACCTCATCTAGACAGATTCCTCTGTTATGGAAAGTAACAGCTGGGTTAAATCCATATCCATTTCTTAGCTGTTAACTATCCATTAGGGCTCTGGCTTTCTGGAGGACTCTGAACGTCACTGAGCAATACAGTCTATAATATCAATTGCCAGATTTATTAAGAATCCAGAAAAAGGGTTGGAGGTAGAAGGGGTAAGAGAAGGTTGCCCCCTCTGTACTGGGATCCCGAGGAAAGCCTGCTCAGTGCATTTTCTAAGTGCTTCTCTTTTTATCCTGATAGATTATAATGCACTTAGGAGGGGAGAGCACAATCTCCCACTAATTAGCCTGAGGGAAGTTCTACCTGTAAGCAGGTGATTCTTCTTTTCTACTGTTCAGAACAGTATAAATTATGGTCAAGTTTTACTTGGAACAACCTCCAAGATTCTGTGTTAGGATGAATCGTCGTATGAAGGAATCCAGATTTCCCTACCACATCCATATCCTTGCCTTCTCTTGATAAAGACACCCAGTTTTCTTATAAAATACATTATCTGGCTGGCTCACTGACTGCATCTGAAACCAGGAGTCAAGCATATTCACTGTGGCAGGTCAGAAAAGCAAGTCCAAATATTTACCAACGAATGTCCTTAAACACCAAGGTCAATAAGCACGCAAGCCTGCGCTCTATTGTTCCTTTTCATCAACTCAATGTAGTTGTCTTTCTTCCCCCCAGTTAAGACTACTATATTAAGGCAAACACATCATACATTTAAGTGTATATGCATCTTGAAGCAAGCCTGTTTGTTCTCCCACACACATACATGCGCAAATGCATGCACACACCTGTTTCCAAAGTGTTTGATTCAAATATATTAAAATTCTTTTTAATCAATCTGCTTGCCTATCTGAGTACATGGGTCCAAAGGAAGAAATTTCCTTCTTGGCTGGCAGTACAACTTTGAAAATCTTTCTTCTATACTTCTAGTTTTTAAGAAAAAGAAATTAAAGGTCTTACTGGTTGATTTCTCAAGTGTAGTCCCTCCAGAAAAGTAGCACCAGCCCAACTGTGATCCCAAATGTCACAAAGGCGGCACAGCAAACTCACGGGGCACCATGGAGCATTTCACATGGGAAACATACGGCAATGTTTGACCTAGGTCAGCCTTTAAGCATACCACTAGCCAGATGTCCTTCAGTTTCAACAGGACTGCTCCACATCCCTTTGATATATCTTTGTCAAGCTGACTTTGGGGTGGTTATTGTGATAAAAAAGCAAATATGTAAAAATGATCACGAAAAAAAAGTAATAGTGTCCAACAGGAGTTTGTGTATTTGGGGAGTTATGTGAAGTCAGAAAAACCATCTTGAACTACACTTCCTTCTAAAAAAAAGTTAGGAAAACCTTCACATAAAAGAGTAAAAGGAACAGAAAAAGATCCATTTCAGACAATGAAAGCATACCAGAAAGACATGCCCAGAAAGCAAATCAAAAGTATCTTATTAAAAATGAGCTAAAAGTCACTAAGAAAATGATAGAAGAGCCTAAATCAGAATTAGGAAACTCAGAAACAAGGCAACAAAGAGAATTAGTTTTTTAAGAAAATGAAGAGACAGAGCATTTGGGAGATAGTAATAAATACTGTATGTTTAATTTAAGCAAAGATCCAATATATGGGCAACAGGAATTCTTGTAGCAGGAAAACCAATGCAAGGAAATGAAACAAATACTAAAAACTGCATGTAAATAAAGAAGACTTTTATTGAGAGTACAAAATTTCAATCATTAAGGGTTGAATTTTATTCTGGAGGTATAATTTCAGCATGGTAACTATAGTTAATATTGTATTGTATTCTAGAAATCTTTTAAGAGAGTAGATCTTAAGTGATCTCAACACACACAAGGTAAATGAGGTAACAGATGTGTTAATTAGCTTGGTTGAGGCAATAATTTCACAAGGTATATGTATACCAAAACACGCGGTATACCTTAAATATATACTACCTTATCTTTTAATTATCTCAACCAAGCTGGAAAAAAATAAAATGGTTTAAAAGAATAAATTATGTAAGGTTAAAAAAAGACATGTATCATGGATATATTTAAACATCAGATACATAAAGTTCTGCCTTTTTACTCTAAAAAAAGGGGGGGAAACTGGAAAAAAAAAAAAAAGACTCAGAACTACATATTGAAAAACACATCACATACCTGAGAATATCAACCCAGAATGACCAACACCAATTGGGACTGTAAAGAAGGAAAAAAAAAAAAAATCCCTTGGGCATCTGGGCAAAAACATCAAGTAACTTGTAAGGAAAATAAAAGCAGACTATCATCAGACTGCAACTGCAATGTTTTATGCCAAGAGAAAATGAAGTTACATATTTTAAATATATAACTCAAACTTTATATTATTTGGCTCATCTGTATGTGAGCAATATTCAGCAACACTGGAATACTGACTCCATGAGGAAACTTTAGAGCAGGGCTGACAAACTGTACCCAGAGGTATTTTGGTACAATCCTTGAGCTAAGAATGGTTTAAGGGTTGTTAAACACACAAACATGATCCTGGAGCAGGATCCAGGATCCTGCGTTGGGTTCCCTGCTCAGCAGGAATCTGCTTCTCCCTCTGACCCTCCCCTGTCCAGTACTCTCTCTCTCTCTCTCTCTCTCTCTCTAATAAATAAAATCTTTAAAACAAGAACAACACACAAACACAGACATAAACAAAATATGAAACAGGATCACTTTTGGCCTAAATGTTTAGCCTAAATGTTTACTATCCAGTCCTTGGCAGAAAAATTTTTGCCATTTCTACAACTAAAGCACAAACTTCTGACCAAAATGATCAGCAAGACTTTGATATAAGATGGATGCTAAGCATTAAACATACAGCTACTTAGAAAATCAAGTCTAAATAAGGTTGAGAGTACAATGTCTAATGGCTATGTGATTCCACAACATACTTACGAAGACTTAATACAACTCAAAGGGGAGGGAGGGACAGGGACCAGAATGAGGAAAATACATTCAACTAAAAAACTTCAAAATGGGGGTATCTGGTTGGCTCAGTTGGAAGAACATGCAATTCTTGATCTCAGGGTTGTGAGTTCGAGCCCCACATTGGGTGTAGAGGTTACAAAAAATTGAAAAATAAACTTAAAATATTATAAACTGTTTTCAGTGGTCATAATTAGTAGTGGTAGTATTTGGACAGTTATTTTGACACTGTTGTGAGGATGTGAAATGAACCAAATGGATATTCTAATTCCATTATTCTCTGTTCTTTTTTTTGGTTTAGTTTTGAAAATGCATTTATAAGCTATTAGCCACACAATCAAGGAAAACATCTTGCCAAAGCCAACTCATTTTGGACCACCAGCAGATTATTAAGTTTGATTATCTCTCTTATTTGTAAGAGGACCTCTCAAAGTATTCTGGTGTTTTTCAAAAATTAAATCTACCCTCAAAAGACAAACTTTGCAGCAAAAAAGATAAAGAACACACTGTAGCATAGCTAAGTAATAAGGCCTTGAATGGGATAGACAGTCACAGACCAATTCCAATCCTGTTCTACCACTGTGTACAACTCTCTAGACCTGCTTACAGACATATCAAATCAGGGCTTGGTAAAGGATCCTAATTTCCTCAAGAATTTTTGGAAAATGCATGTAGGTTAGAACAGGTGGCAATTTCAAAATAACATCTATTATTTATACTAGAGACATATATATTTCTATTAAAAAAACTTGCATTTAGGGACACCTGGGTGGCTCAGTCAGTTAAGGGTCTGCCTTTTGCTCAGGTCATGATCCCAGAGTCCTGGGATCAAGTCCCACAATGGGATCTCTGCTTAGCGTAGAGCCTGCTCCTCCCTCTGCCCTCCCCTTTGTGCATTTGCTCTCGTACGCTGACAAATAGAAAGACAAAAACAAAAAAAAACTCGCATAATTGTTCATCCGGAATGAACAATTTCATGTGTTAACAGTACAGCTGACTCTGAACACCGGTTTAAACATGTAATCCAATTATATGTGGATTTTTTATAGTACAGTACTCTAAGTATATTTTCTCTTCCTTACAATTTTTTAATAGCACCTTCTCTTCTCTAGCTTGCTTTATTATATGAATACAGTATATGATACAAGTAACATACACAATAAGTGCTAATCAACTGTATGTTACCAGCAAGGCTTCCGGTCAACAGTAGGCTACTGGTAAAGTTTTGAGGGAGTCAAAAGTCACATGCAAATTTTTGATTGTGTAGGGGTCTGGTTCCCCCACCCTCCCTACGTTGTTCAAGAGTTAACTGTACTTGGGTATGGAATGCACTGAAAATAGCCTTTAAAAAGGTTTTACTAGCACTGACCTTTTACTGTAGATTCATCTACCTGAGAAAGATGTCATTAGACTCAATTTCGAATAAGAGACTAGGTAGAGGGTTACTGCTAGGGAGTATTTATTAGAGTCCTGTCTTTGCTCCTTAGATCTTACAGGAACTCAAGGATGGTCCTTAACGTGGACTGATGCAA